TCTGGTTAGTGTCCCGGCCCGTGTGCGTGCCCCTGGCGCCCTTGCCCCACAGCCCCCAGCCTCCCTCCCCTTGGTTTCCCAGGTCAGCGGCCCGGGGCTGCCCCAGCACTGTCTGTCGTCGGGCTGCGCGCCCAGAGGGCTGCCCCCGGCATCCCCGACAGCGTCCCCGTCCTCAGTCCTGCCCGTCCTTTCTGGCCTTTCTCCGGCCCCTTCCAGTTTCAGGGCATCTGGATAAATGGGTAGCGTCGTTGTGGCCCAGTCCGTGCAGCCCTCCTGGGGGCTGCGACCTGGGGGTCCGCTGGGGGCCTGGGTTTGCAGGAGACAGGAAGGGGCCAAAGGGGCAGAAGCTTGCGGGGGCTTCACCTGCAGGAGGAGTTGGGTCTTTCACAGCTGCCTGGCCACCCTCGGAGCCTGAGAGGCCAGCACCCCTTCCCCTCATGGTGCTGGCTGGACCCTCCACGCTCCGTGCCACCTCCTTGTGTGTCATGTGACCATAGTCACCCCAACCTTGTGGCGTATTTTGAGCTTCTGAGGAGCTCAGCACACACAGCCCCTGTGAGAGCACTGGCGCTGGCTGCTGGACCCTGCCGTGTCTCTGGCAACGTCCCCATCCTCTGAGACCTCTCCGGCTCTGCCTAGCAAGAGGGGCAGGGCCGGGAAGAAGGGGGTGTGGGGCCTTCGGGAGCTGGGCCCGGGTGCTGAGGCGGAAACCAGGCCGGGCTCAGCGTGCCAAGCTCCTGGTGGAGGCACTGGCGTCCGTGCATGTCAGCGGCGCAGACAAGGTTCCAGGCTCCGTCTCCTGAACCTGTCTGGAAGAGCCCAGCTGCTCCCATGGACCTGCGACCTGCCGCCCGGGGCTGGAGGTCTGGGCCTCTTTGCATCGGCTCAGGGGAGGCCGTCCGCGGCTGGGTGAGGGTCAGCGGCCATTTGGATGCCCCAGCAGCCGCGGGGCTCTCGCCTCTGTCAGAGCAGGCAGCGTGCGAACTGGCAAGGGCTTTGGGGAGCAGCAGGAGGCCTGAGGGTGCCGAGCGCTCTGGAAATGTTGCTGGTTCTTCAGGGGCAGGCCTGGCCCGCTGGGCAGAGCAGAACACGGCCTCCGCGCAGAGGCGGGGTGGGGGCGCCGGGATGGCAGACACATGAGGCCGCATGAAGTGGGCATCAGCTGGACCCTGGGGTTTGGGCTTGGAGGCCTGCAGGGCAGTGGTCCCCCGGCTCTTGCTGCCCTGTGGTTCAGTTCCTCCCGCTGCCGCACCTTGTGCCCTGTGGGTTGGCCGGTCTTGTGAGAGGCCTCATCTGAGACAGGAAGCCCCACGCAGGCTTCTGGAAGGCTCTGTCCTGGCTCTCGGCCACCCTATTGGCTGAGACCGACCCCAGCGGCTTCCTGAGGCTTGGCGAGGCCCCCAGGGTCACCTGCCGGTCACACACCTGGGGGACCCCACCAAGGCTGAGACCCAGGTTGGGGCCCCCCGCACTCTGCTGAGGTTTGGGCCTCATTCCCCGCTGGCCCGCCCTCCCCTCAGGAGCTTTCCAGGTGGGGACGTTCGTAGGGACAGTGGTACGACATCCAGTTGTCTCCTCCCTGAAACCTTCAACCTGAACCTCACTCAGCACAGGGAACTGGGGGCCAGACCGTGGTGGATGGAGGCGTCGTGCTGACACAGCCCCTGCTGGGACGTGGGGAGTGGCTGAGGCACAGCTCCAGCCCCAGCATGATGGTGCGTGTGGGAAAACTGCCCGGGTACTTGGGGCACATTTCCAGCGTGGGTGTGTGAGTGCCACCTCCCCCATGTGGTGGGCGTTGGTGTGATGCTGGCAGCTGGGACCAGGGTCCTCTTCTCAGCAGATGCTGCTGTGTTTCTGGGGGGCAGTCTGTGGTTTTTTGTGTGTGCATGTGTGTGCTTGGGTGTGTGCATGTCCTTGCATGTGCATGTGTGCTTGGGTGTGTGTGCACACATCTGCGTGTGTGCGCGTGTCCTTGCGTGTGCACGTGTGCTTGGGGGTGTGTGTGTGTCCTTGCGTGTGCACGTATGCTTGGGTGTGTGCGCACACGTGTCTGCGTTTGTGTGCGTGTACTTGCATGTGCACGTGTGCTTGGGTGTGTGTATCTGCGTGTCTTTGTGTGTGCACGTGTGTGCTTGGGTGTGGGTGCTCACACGTGTCTGCGTGTGTGTGTGTGCATGTCCTTACGTGTGCACGTCTGTGGGTGTGTGTGCACACATGTCTGCCTGTGTGTGCGTGTCCTTGCGTGTGCACATGTGCTTGGGTGCATGCAGGTGTGTGTATGTACATGTCTGTGTGTGCACGTGTGTGCGTTCGCGTTTGCCCCAGAGCGGAAGGAAAGAGAATGCAGCCGGACGATCATATCTGCGTGAGGGGTGTTCACTTTGTGTCTGGCAATCTTTCTGTGGAATGAAATATTTCAAAATAAGAAATTGAGGGGAAAGAGAAAGGAGGGTGCTTGTCTCTCTCCTCGCCTCCTGCTCTTCCTCCCTGTGTTGGAGGCTCCAGGACGCCTCACCCCGGGTTGACGTCATTTTTGGCCTGCAGAGGCAGCCCCTTTCTTTCCTCCGGGCACCAGCGAGGAGGCTGGGCTCCGGCCGACGGGAGCCCCCGCAGGAGCCAGGGCTTGACTCCCCTGCAGGGCTGTCGCTGTCGCTTTTTTCCCTCACGATGTCTCATCCACAAACCTCTGTCCTCCGTCCAAAGACATCTCAGTGAATCCACCTGGCGCGGAAGCAGCGCTGATGCCGCAAATTCGAGCCAGGCTGCCGGGCAGAGCTCGCCAGTCAGCAGGGCCGGGTATGGCCGGGGCAACCCCGAGACCCCACGCCCCGCCACTGTGGCTCCCACTCCCTGGCGCCTCTCGCTCCCTGGCGCCTCTTCTCTGTGGACGGAGAGCCTCTCTCCGGGGGAAGGCTCGGGGCTAAGCTGATGGGTGTTTGAAGTTTCTCCACACACAGGGTCCCCTGGCATCTCCCTCTGTCTTTGGCGGCCAAGTGCCATTTCCCAGCAGCCCTGCTGCAGACGCCGTCTGTTCTCGGGGGAGAGTTAGGTGGCCTGGGCCCTTGTGGTAGCCGCTCATCCAGCCTGACCCCAGGCTGCAGTGAGGCTGCTTCCGATCGGGGCTTCTCTGCCCAGGTGAAGGGCGGGCGTGGGAGGTTTCCGTAGAGGCCGCTCTCCCCTGCTGCCCGAGCCCTGTGTGGGGCCCTGCGTCCGTCTGACAGACGGAAGCTTCCGGAGCCGGGCCCTTGGGATGATGAGTAGGAAACTAGGGAGGATCCACAGGAATTAGAGATTTCATCAGTTTTGTTTTCCAAGTGAAATTCAACAGCCCCCTAGCAGCGTGACGCTGATGGCCCCGTCCCCTATGGCCCCCATCCTGGAGGCACCCTGGTGTGGGCTGTGGGCCTGGGGATCCTTGGCGCTGTCCAGTATGCAGACGTGCCAGCAGCCCACGTTTCCCCTGGTGACTCCCAGGCTGTGCCCTGGATGTGGCCGTCTGAGCACGTCGTGTCCTGGGGACAGGGCCCCGTCTGGTCGTCAGACTCAGTGCGTGCCCATCGGGGTGCTCTGCCCGCTCGGGGAGACAGCGCGGCTTCTGGGGGACTCCTCCAGGGAGGCTCTGGACCAGGCTGCAGAGGATGCCGACCTGCCACAGGCTGGCCTGGCCGCTCATGGACACGGTGGCTCCTGGCCCAGGGTGCACCGCGTCCTGCCCTCCTCTCCCCTGGGAACCCAGGCGTGCTCGCGGCCCTCTGGAATGCAGGCGCTGGGGCTGTGGGGGGCCGCCTGGCGCCTGGCATCTTGTTATAAAAAGCTGTGGCGCAGGCTGCTCTCAGTGGCTGCAGGATGGTTGTGGCTTTGGAAGGGCAACCCCCAGGGACCTTGGTCAGCCACCTGTGGCCCCACTGCTGGGCCATGGTCAGCCCTTGCTGGCTGCCCTGCGACGACACTGCCAAAGCCTGTGGGGCTTCTGCCAGACTCCCGTGACAAGTCATGACAGAGCCACGTGCTGGGTGGCTGCAGGGCCCTGTCGCCCACGGCAGTCAAGGTCTTATGTGTCTGTCTGGAGGGCAGCCCTGGAGACACCTGGGACAGGTGTACCTCTGGCAGGCGCACCCTGGCTGTCACCCAGTGTGGGCATGGTGGGAGCGCTGGAATGCTGTGCAGGGCAGGAGGCAGCGGCCTGTGGCTGCGTGGGAGACTGCAGGGGAGACGGGACCAGACCAGGAGGGTTGTTCCCAGGGCCTGCCAAGCCATCCCCAGGTGTTGAGAGTTGGAGGTAGGGGTGGGAGCCCAGAGCCAGCTCCAGGCCACCCGCACTCCCGACGGCTCTCGGCTGTTCTGTGTGAGGGGGGACGGGGCCGAGTGTGGTGTCCCACCCATTCCAACACTGGGCCGAATGCACGGAAATCACTGCCCAGGGCTCCGGGAGCTGCATGGCGCGGCTTTGTCCATTTCATTGCTGTTGATGCCAATTAGGGGTGACAGTGTCCCTCCCGCATCCCAGGGTGGGCAGAGGGAAGGGCCGACTTGTTCCCTGGGGGCAGGCGTGCATGGAGTCAGCCTGGCCATGGAGCTGTGGCCAAAAGGGCAGTGGGGACAGCGGGGGCAGCTGGGCTGGGGTTTTTGCCGACGCTCTAATTTGGCGGCTGTCGCCACCCCTGCCCCCCACAGAGACCCTGACGTGGCCTGAGCCAGACTCCAGGGGCCATGCACCCTGATGGGTGGGGAGCAGGGGCTCAGCGTCAGGTCTGGTGCACTGACTGGGAGAAGGAGGGTCTCCAGCCCTGGACAGGCCCTGAGTGGGGTGGGGGCCCCCAGCTGCTGTGCCCAGCCCTGCCCCCAGGACCTGGCCCTGGCACTGTGCTGGCCGGGGCCAGGGAGAGAGTGGGCCCAGCTCCCAAGTCTGTGTGCCCACCTCGGCTGGGGATGCTGACAGCCCGGGGTGTGGAGGGCCCCCCGTGACACCCGCCGTCAGCCGCGCCCTCTGCCTCTAGCCCGTGGACCGGGAGCCTGTGGTGTGCCACCCTGACCTGGAGGAGCGGCTGCAGGCCTGGCCAGCGGAGCTGCCTGATGAGTTCTTTGAGCTGACAGTGGATGACGTGAGAAGGCGCTTGGCCCAGCTCAAGAGTGAGCGGTGGGTGCTCCCTCAGTGCCTCTCAGCTTCTTCGAGTCAGGGTTTGCCCCGTCGGGTGCCTGTGCTGCCCGCCGTCCCCAGGTGCCAGCACTGGCTCGTGGCCCAGGTCCCTGACAGGCTGCCCTTAAGAGCACCTCAGAGGGTTGGGGCCTAGGGAGGGGTGTTCAGATCTTCCTGCCTTGTGCGGGGAGAGCAGCCCACTTCCACCCTGGCGGGTGCAGGTGAGGAGCCCGGGGCCAGTTGCCGTGGCCCCCATTCTGACCAGAAGCCCTGTTCCCTTCCCCTCCTCACCACAGGAAGCGCCTGGAAGAAGCACCCTTGGTGACCAAGGCCTTCAGGGAGGCGCAGATAAAGGAGAAGCTGGAGCGCTACCCAAAGGTCTGCAGACGGGACGTGGGGGCAGCAGAGGCACAGCTCTGAGGGGGCCCCCTGTCAGTTCTATGGACGGGACATGGGGGCAACTGAGGCACAGCTCTGAGCAGGGCCCCCCAGAGGTCTGCGGGTGGGATGTGGGGGCAGCAGAGGCACAGCTCTGAGCAGGACCCACCCCCCCGTTGTGGCATGCCTGCCTCTAGTGGCCAGTCGATCCTCCCCTGCTCATGATTTAGAATGAATTTTTTTTTTTTTTTTTGAGACGGAGTTTCTCTCTGTCACCCAGGCTGGAGTCAGTGGCGCGATCTTGGCTTACTGCAAGCTCCGCCTCCTGGGTTCACGCCGTTCTCCCGCCTCAGCCTCCCGAGTAGCTGTAACTACAGGCGCCCGCCACTCACGCCCAGCTAATTTTGTTTTTGTATTTTTTAGTAGAGACAGGGTTTCACTGTGTTAGCCAGGATGGTCTCAATCTCCTGACCTTGTGATCTGCCCGCCTTGGCCTTCCAAAGTGCTGGGATTACAGGCGTGAGCCACAGTGTCCAGCCTAACTTTTTTTTTTTTTTGACATGGAGCTTTGCTGTCACCTAGGCTGGAGTGTGGTGGTGCGATCTCGCCTCACCGCAGCCTCCGCCTCCTGGTTCAAGCAGTTCTCCTGCCTCAGCCTCCTGAGTAGCTGAGATTTCAGGTGTCCACTACCAGTAGCTCGGCTAATTTTTGGATGTTTTTTAAGTAGAGATGGGGTTTCACTATGTTGGCCAGGCTGTTCTTGAACTCCTAACCTCAGGTGATCCGCCCACCTCGACCTCGCCAAAGTTTCGGATTCACACGCGTGTGATGCCCACCACAGCGCCCGGCCCGAATGAAAACTTTTTTTTTGAGACGGAGTCTCACTCGTCACCCAGGCGCTGGAGTGCAGTGGCGGATCTCAGCTCACTTGCAAGCTCCGCCTCCCTGGGTTCACGCCATTCTCCCTGCCTCAGCCTCCCCGAGTACTGAGACTACAGGTACCGCCGCTCGCGCCGGCTAGTTTTTTGTATTTTTTTTTTTTTTTTTTTTTGAGACGGAGTCTTGCTCTGTCGCCCAAGCTGGAGTGCAGTGGCGCGATCCTGGCTCACTGCAAGCTCCGCCTCCTGGGTTCACGCCATTCTCCTGCCTCAGCCTCCCGAGTAGCTGGAACTACAGGCGCCCGCCACCACGCCCGCCTCATTTTTTTGTATTTTTACGTAAGACCGGGGTTTCACCATGGTCTCGATCTCCTGACCTTGTGATCCACCCGCCTCGGCCTCCCAAAGTGCTGGGATTACAGGCGTGAGCCACCGCGCCCGGCCAGTTTTTTGTATTTTTTAGTAGAGATGGGGTTTCACCGTGTTAGCCAGGATAGTCTTGATCTCCTGACCTCGTGATCTGCCCAGCTCAGCCTCCCAAAGTGCTGGGATTACAGGCTTGAGCCACCGCGCCCGGCCCGAATGAAACTTTAAACAGCAAATTTGAACACAGGTCAATGTGGTTTTAGAACTCAGGCCACTGTGCGCACGCACGGTACTCGGCTGTCTCCGTGCCCGGCCTACCATGGGGGAGTCGAGGCCCGGGCCCTGATTGGGGGTGGCTGCTGCTTCTGCCTGCCCCAGCCCTGGTGTCCGTGGCCTGGCGTGGGCTGAGCGGGGAGGCCGTGCCTGGTCCCTGGTGCAGCTCCGGCCGTCCCTCCAACCCCTCCACTTGTCTGGCCTAGGTGGCTCTGAGGGTTCTGTTCCCCGACCGCTACGTCCTACAGGGCTTCTTCCGCCCCAGCGAGACAGGTGGGCAGCACTGCCGGTGTCCGGGGAGGGGGGCGGGGGCCCACAGAGCCCCTCCTGGCTCCTTCCTTCCAGGCTACAGGACTGCAGCCACCTGGCCTGCGGGTCCCAGGGCACTGGGCAGGTGCAGGTGCTGAGGTCCCCTTGGGGGTGCAGAGGTGACCCAGTTTGCAGTGTCAGGCAGGCTGGGCACTCGCTCCAGATGAGCCTGTGGTCCTGAGTGCTCACGTCACCCACCTACTGGGCACAGCTGGGGCAGAGGGGCACCCAGAGGAAGGCACCATACCCCGGGAGGAGGGCAGTGGTGCTGTGACATTCAGGGGCTTGTGACCTGTACCCCAGACAGCTGGGTGGCAGCAGTCCAAGGTCGCAGGGACCTCCCCCAGGGAAGCACTGAGGCTGGGGTGGGGGGGGGACTGGGGGGTACAGGCTGGCAGCGGGAGTGCCCTCCTGCAGCAGGGCGGAGGTCCCAAGTGTGGCCCACACGGGGGCCCAGCCACGTCGAGCACCTGGGGTGCTGTGGGAGGAACAGGGCTGAATTCCCACCCCTCGGGGAAAGGCCCAGGAGGGTGGGAGCAGTGGCCCAGTGCCCGGGGCAGCCCGGGGCTGGTGTGGAGGAAGAGCTGTCTGTATGTTCTTTCTCCTCTGCAGTGGGGGACTTGCGAGACTTCGTGAGGAGCCACCTGGGGAACCCCGAGCTGTCGTTTTACCTGTGTAAGTTTTTTCTCCTGAGCCCACTCCTGCCTCCAGTGCTCGAGACCCTGGTGCTGTGGGCACACCGCCCGTCCCAGCTGGGGCTCTCGGCAGCTTCTCCACGGGAGCAGCATCTGTGGCCTCCCGCCCAGCTGCCTCCTGCAGCCCATGGTGTCTGTGTGGGGACCTAGCAGGGCCCTTCTCCCTGAGCCGGGCGGTGGGAGGGTGGGAGCCAGGCTTCCTGCCTTCTGTCTCAGCGCTCCGCTCCCCTCTGGAGCCCTGGGGCTCCCCCACCCCTGGGGCTCAGGCCACTCCAGCTCGAGGACTGTGGGAAGGGTCGGTGGACAGGAAGCAGCTGGCCTCCCTTGGAGCGTCTAGGTGGCAACGGGTTAGGCTGCCCCCCTCAAGGGGAGCTGGGCTGCATGGGTGGTGACCCCTGCAGTTGGGCCTGCCCCGCCCCAGCCCCTCCGAGCCCCCAGCTGGGGTTTCTGCAGCCGGAGTGTGGGCACAGGGCGTGATCATGAGGGGCTCTTCTGCCCCACGTGAGGTGTCACCCCCATCTTCGGGCCTGTCTTCTTTTGGGAGCGTGGATGGGGACCGCAGTGCTTCCTAACACATAGATGCCTTCTCTCCTCAGTCATCACCCCTCCAAAAACAGTCCTGGACGACCACACGCGGACCCTCTTTCAGGTACCCGAAGGCCTCCCTGGGGTGCTGCGGGGCGGGGCCCTCCAGGGAGGGCAGGACTCGAGGGTGAGGCCCGCAGTCAGGAAGGAGTGGCTTGGCAGGCGCTGGTGTGGGATAATAAAGCCTTTGAGAGCGGGTGGGTTCAGAGGGGGCCGTGCGCCTCTGAAGTTGTTTCTGACAGGCCTTTCCAGCCTCCTCTGCTTCCTGCCTGGCCCCGGGTGAGAAAGGGCCTGCTGGGCGGCCTGCCTGAACTGAGGCCGCTTGGAGGTCTCGGCCCCCCTGGGCTGCTGTGCTGGGGCCAAGGCAGCACCAGTGCCCGCCCAGGCGTCTGGGTGAGGAAGGGCCCGGCAGGCCTGGGAGCAGGGCTTGGGGAGCCCCAGAGGGACCAGGCCCTCAGCTGGAGACAGCCGCCTGGGGCTTCAGCTGCCAAGTCTGTGTTCCTGCCCCTTCCCCCTTCCCGGCCTCTCCCGCTGGCCCCGCTGGCCCCTGCTAGGAATGCCCTGGTACCCATAGCTGTCCGCTGCTTCTGTGGGTCCCTGCCACCTCCCTGAGAGCTCCTGAGGGTGGGGCCAGAGTGAGGGTGCCCGGTCCCCAGCCCTGCTGGGCCGCCCTCCAGAGCCAGAAGCAATGAATGTCCTGTCCTTGGCCTGTGGGAGAGCCGCCTGGGGCCTTCCGAAGCCCTCTGGCCTAATGGTTTCCTCTTCAAAGCCTCTTCAGATATTTTAATTAGCAACAGAGGCGTTTTTTTTTTTTTTAAGTGGCCACAGGCCTCTGCAGAGGCCTGGGTTGGAGGTGAGAAGCTTGCTTGCTGCCTGGGGCTGCAGCCACTTGCTGAGATGGGGCAAGAAGGCTGGCAGCTGCCAGGGGTGATCAGGAGCAGGACTGAGTGGGATTCCCTGAGACGGAGGCAGGGGAGGGGTGAGACAGTCCCCTCTCAGCCCCTGAGCTGCCGGGCGGACTCTGGGCCTCCTTCCTCTGTCTCCACCCCCTCCCTTGCTGGCCAGCCAGTTGATAAACATTGAATTTGGAAGATGCCTTGGGGTGGAGGAGGACCAGCGCCCAGGCCTGCAGCCCACCCTCCCACTGGGAGGCCCCCTGAGAGCACTGGGGTGCTGCTGCGCTGCTCCTGGAGATACATGGCTTCCCCGCCAGCCACCATCTCCTGCCCTCCGTCAGCCCAGCTCTAGTCTGGGGGCCTCTCGGGGTGGCGTCCCTGGTGACGTTCCTGCCTGCCTGCCGTCAGAGAGCTGGCGGGGCCGAGGGGGGGAAGCCTGCCTCCCTGGCAGGCAAGCAGGCAGCGGGCGTGGAAGCACCAGCTTTCATGTCTGTCTCTGGCGGGGCCCTGCTCTGGCCCCTGCTTCTAAGAGGTACAGCGTGCGTGGGTGTGGGGGCTCGGGTAGCCCGGCAGCCCTCTGTGGCCCTGGCCCAGGAGAGCGCAGGTTTTCTGGGAGGGCTGGGAGGAGGCGGCCAGGATTGAGGACAGGGAAGTGTGAGCAGCGTGGGGGCACCACTGTGGGGAACAAAGCCCCGACCGCTGCCTGAAACCTGCTTCCTGGCCCTGGGCATCAGGGCTGGCACGGTCACCTCTGTGTGCAGTCCGCATCCTCATGTCGTAAGGAAGGTCATCCTGGACTAGGCCCACCTTTGATGTCACGGTCACCTCACTTATCTCTTCAAAGTCTCTGCTGTTTGGGCTTCCTTCCGTTGGCTTTGGTGGGGCAAGCCTGGCTCCTAACACCCTCTGTTTGTTGGAGCTGTCAGGCTGCCTCGGGGGACCCTCTGCCAGGACACTGGCCACCCACTTGGGAAGGAGTGACTGGCACTTCCGGCCTGAGTGCCTGCTGGGCGCCCACCCCTAGCCAGGTCTGTCCTTCCTTTCCACCCAGGACAGCCCCGTCCTGTACTGCTGTGTTGCCCACTGCCAGGGCCTCTTGGGAACGACAGGCCCCCTTCCTCCCACCCACCAGGCCCTACCCCACCTGGACCCTCTGAAATGTTCCTCGTTGACAAATGGTCTTGCAGAAGGTGGGATGGCTCCTGCAGTCCCCGCTCCCGCTCTGTGGGTGGATGCCCCGTCTCTCCCTGCCCGGGCACCATGGTGCCACCTCCCTCCCGGGCATCTTGGGCTGTAAGGGCTCCTCTCTTGGCTTCGTTTCCCCGAGGGTGGTGCCGTTCTCTTTGGAGGGGGCGACCGGGGCGCTGGGCCACGTGTGCATGCAGCCCCTGCAGAGTTGCTGCCCCATGGGGGTTGGCGTGGGCCTCCTTTCAGAAACTCTTCCTGGCAACACTGAGTGGGGTAAGGGGCTGGCAGCAGAGAGGTGGCCGGATTTGGGACCCCAGTGTCCTAGGCAGCAGCGAGGGAGGAGCCGGCTCCAGGCCCTCAGGCTGTGTCAGGGCAGGGCGGGTGCCCCCTCTTCTCCCTGTCAGCCGAGGGAGCCAGGCGGGCAGCCTGAGACCTCCTGGGGCAGTGCTGGTGGGGAAAGGCCTCTCAGCCTGAGCCTCCCTCAAAGGCCCGTCCTGGGCCCTGCTCTGGGTGGCTGGGGGGATGGTGTGACCCACCTTACTTTTCTAGCCCCAGCTTGGTGACCGGGTGGTTCCGTTCACCCTGGGTCGCTTACTGAGATGGCGCCTGGGAACCAGGGCAGAGAACACCCTTTCTACCAGTGGGGGACGGAGGTGACATGGACTCTGGGAGGCTCCTTTTTTGGGGTCCATCCAGAGGCCGAGCCTCTCCAAGCACGGGTCAGCCTCCATGCCGCCCAGTCTGCTGACCCTCCTCTCCACCATCCCCTCGTCCAAGCAGTGGGATCCCTCCTGAGTCAAGGCTGGGCACGAGCACGTGGGGACAGCCGGGTAGGCTGCCTGGCTCAGTGCTCCTTGCACAGAGGCGCAGACAGAGCCCGGGTGCCCCAGGCCCGGCCACCAAGCCTACTTCCCTCCGCTGGCGTTCCCGAGTCCTGCCTGCCCCTTTCTGTGCGTCCCACGGGGCAGTGCCGGGTGAGGGTCCTGGCCTGTGCGGCTGTGATGAACACCAGGTGCCTCTCTGCATTGGTGGCTTCTGAGGGAGCCCTCTTGCCCCTTGCAGGTGGGCTGCAGGTGGGGCTGGCCAGGCCTCCTGTGCCCACAGCGGCCTCTGGGCAGTGTCCCCTGGGCCTCTGTGAGCAGTTGCAGCCTGGGTGTGAATCTTGGAGGCCCCGTGGTGATGAAGCATGCCGTCCGCCTGTGAGAGGCCGAGACCACGGCGGCTCCTGGCGCTGTCCTCCCCGTGCTCCCTTCCTGGCTCCCCAGCTTCCGGCGCCTCTTCAGGGCCACTTGGGCAGCCCCTGCCCACCCCACAGGCCCTTCTCTCCTCACAAGGCTTTGATCCCAGGCGGCACAATTGGGTTTTCAAAGCATTCACGGCCCTTGTTTGTGTCCCTGGGCCCCTGGCTGGAGGCTGAGGTTTCAGCGTTCCTGGGCCTGGCCTTTGAAGCTTCCTCTTATTAATCTTTTAACATCCCCCAGCCCCACTCCCACCCCCAGCCTGTGGCCCCGAGCAGCCTGGAGCCGGGAGGGGGAATCTGGAGCTGGGAGGGGGAATCTGGAGCCGGGAGGGGGAATCTGGAGCCGGGAGGGGGAATCTGGAGCTGGGGGGGGGATACCCACCCTGGCAGCTGCGCCTCTCCACGGTGGTCCCAGCACATACGCCAGGACCCGCCACGCCTGGCCCCACCTTCCTCAGGTGCAGAGGCCAGAGGAGGGAGGACTGTGATGCTGCATGGCTTGAGGACCCTCGAGGCTGCAGCCTTCAGCTGGCTTGGGGCTTGGGGTGGTCCCATGGAGGGCGCTGGTCCCAGGGCACCCTGGCCTTGCGTACAGGGGTAGGGTTGGTGCCAGACAGGAAGCTGGGCGAAGAGGGGTTCATGGGGGCCGGGCAGGCAGAGCCCGCCTGATGGTGGAGCTGTGGCCATCAGCAGGGCCGGGCCCTGGGGGTGTGGCTGCCTCCACCGCAGGGGGGTGCTCTGCCCACGGTGCCCACCCGGCCCCTGAGCCCCCCGCCCTCCCTGCAGGCAAACCTCTTCCCGGCCGCTCTGGTACACTTCGGAGCCAAGGAGCCGGCAGGTGAGTGTCGGTGGTTGGGGCCGGTGTTGGAGCCCGGCCAGCCTGTCTCTGGACCTCAGAGTCAGCTGCCTGGAAGGGCGTTCAGTCTGGGGCCTCCTTTGGGTCTGAGAGGGAGCTCTGCGGCCCCAATAACCACCTCCCCGAGAGAGGGCTGGGACAGCCACCTACTGGCCACTGCCCTCCCAGAGCCGAGTGCCGGTGGGCAGATGCTGGGCAGATGCTGGGCGGATGGCGGGTGGGCCCCCCCTCAGAGGCTCAGGGTGAGCTTGGGCCTCCCTGCAGGTGTCTACCTGGAGCCTGACCTGCTGCAGCACGCCATCTCCCCATCTGCAGCCGACATGCTGGTGGCCAGGTAAGTGCCTGTGGGTCTGGGGGCACCTCCCATGGCGGCACTCACAAGCCTGCATCTTCGCCTCCCCCTAGGTGCATGTCCAGGGTCACCGGGTCCCCTTCCCCATTGCCAGCCCCTGACCCTGCACCTGAGTCTGAACCAACTGCTGAGGAGGGGGCACTGGGCCCCCCTGAGCCCATCCCAGGGACGGCCCAGCCTGTGAAGAGGAGCCTGGGCAAGGTGCCCAAGTGGCTGAAGCTTCCGGGTACTGCGGCCGGGTGGAAGGCAGGGTGCTGTGGCCGGGTGGAGGGTGGGGGGCCGGGTGCTGTGGCAGGGCCATTGGGCTGAAGGGCTGGGTGCTGTGGCCGGCAGGGCCGAGTGCTTCAGCTGGGCGGGTGGGCGGGTGGCCGGGCGGCAGGAGCCCAGGGCCTGTGGTCACCCTGGTGTGTTTGCACTACAGCCAGCAAGAGGTGAGAGCCACCAGCCCAAGGTGCCCACTCTGCCACCCACAGGACCACCTCCCCTGCCAGTAGGAATAAAGACTTGTGCATCCCTCAACGCATTCCTGTCGTGCTTCCTCCAGAAAAGGGCCGCCGTCCTCTGCCCTGGCTCAGCTGGACCGCAGTGTCCAGGCCTGAGAGCCTGGTGGGCCGCGGTGTGGGCCCCTGAGGGGCGCTGTGGGCCGCGGTGTGGGCCCCTGAGGGGCGCTGTGGGCCGCGGTGTGGGCCCCTGAGGGGCGCTGTGGGCCGTGGTGTGCATCCGGAACCCATGTGGGTCTCCTCTTCGTTTTTACCTAATAGTTTTTATCCCTCCTCCAAGGAAAACAGAAGTGCTGGAAAAAAGGCTTTTTTGGGGAAATTACCTGCAATCCAGGAGCCAAGCCCCGGGCCGAGAGCTGGGGGAGGAGTTAGTAGGTCCCCCCACATCTGCAGGGCAGGGCCTGACCTTGGGCCTCCCACTGCCCCTGAGCGGCTATAGTGCTGCGTTCTGGCCCTGGCCCACCCCACAGCCAGCCTCCCCAGCAAGTCTGATGACTTCCACAGGCTCCCAGGGCTTTCAAACTGACCTACTGAGGTGGGCAGAGCGGGGAAGGGGTGGGTCTCAGCAGCTGTGCCTTCCCGGGGCCAGTGGGGCTCAATCAAGGATGAAGAGGCTTGCCTCAAAGTTGTCTTTGGGCACCAGGGCAGGAGAGAGGCTGGGCTGCCTCTGATGGGTCCCATGGGGCAGCTCTTGTGCTTCCCACCCTGACTCCCTACCCCTTCCCCTTCCTGCGTGGGGCACTGGGATGGTGCTCAGCTGAGAGCCCCTGGGGTGCTTCCCGTCCTGGGCTCTGACGAGAGAGAAAGTGAGGTGGGCTGGAGGGGAAGTGGCCAAGGCTCTGCCCACTTCCCAAGCATTGGCACAAGTGGAGCTTATGCCAGAGGCCCCTGAGAGTCAGAGGGCAGCCAGACTTGGGCGGGGCATCCAGGCAGGTCCCACAGCTCTGTGTCTCCAAGGGTGGGCAGAGGGCATGGCCTGAGGGGGCTGAGCTGCACCCCCACGCACTGCTTGGGACCGGTGTCGGAGAAAAGGGGAGGCCTGTTCTTCATTTCAGCAGGCCCTTGGGCCAGTCTCTCTCACCCTGTGCGTCTTGGTCCTGCCTGTGGCCACTGCCTGCGGCCACAGGAACATTCCTGGAAGCCACTGCCCACTGGTGGCAGCTCCCGTGGCTGCCCCAACCCCTGGGGCAGGAGTAACATTTTCCAGGCGGGTGGCCACATGTACGCGGTCCGGGTTCCGCAGCGCCTGGGGGCGGGGCCGAGTCACTCGCACACATGCTGTTTGTTAGTGCGTCCTCCTGGTGCTTTGCTTTCTTACCAGGAGTGGAAGGGCGCACACGGGGAGCGAGGCTTTGAAGCAGTTTGACTTTGGTGATTAATGGCAAGAAGGCCAAGCTGGGAGAGACAGTTTTGATTTATTGATGTTGCTTTGTGAGAACAAATTTATAGCCGGGGGAAGCATCTTCCAAGGGGAATATCGCATGGCTGGAAAGGTCACACGCCAGCTTTGATGTCGGGTGGCAGGAATGTGGGCAGGAGGCGGTGCTGCCAGCCGCTGTTTGTCAAACACACAGGCTACCTGGTGGCCGGGCCTTTCCCAGCACCTGCCTGTAGGACCCTGGGTGGTACGCACACTGTTGCCCCAGGGAGGAGAGGCAGGGACTCCCCAGGTGCTGCCCCTTCCCACACCAGTGTCCCCACTGGACACTCCGAGGGCAGCAATGCACTGCAGTCCTGCCCCTTCTGCACAGGCTGGAGACACCTGGGGATCTTGTTTGAATCAACTCAACCCCTCAGGTCCTTCCCCGCCTGTTATCAGAGACCGCTGGAAACACAAGGCCTGTTTCTGTGGACCAGAGGCTCCTCTGGGGGTGGCCTCAGCCACGGCTGAGATCCCTAGAAGTCCAGGAGCTGTGGGGGAGAGAAGTGCTTAGGGCCAGCCAGCTGGGCACCTCCACTGGCGCCGCGACCCACGCTCACCCACCAGCTGCGGGAGCACCTTCTCCAGCTGGTCCACATCCACACGGAGCGTGTCTTCTGCCTGGGCCTGCCGCACCCCGCGAACTGCTGCTTCTGCGGTGAGAAACGCGAGGTGGGGGATCTTAAACCCGAGCCCAGGGAGGGCCTCAGCCTGGGCCGGTGCCCCCACCCACACCCACGGGCAGCCCCCAGAACCAGGCCACAGCACCTGACAAACAGGCTCAGGAGACCCAAGTTTAGGACCTTGTGGGAAACTGGGGAAAACACATCTTGGTTTTCCCGCTGTGAAAACACAAAAGGAATCCGGGACGCGGTGCCCGGAAGGAGCGTGGGCCCCGGACTCACCCACAACAAAGATCTTCAGCAACTCCGCCATGAGCTGCAGCGCGTCCCCGCTCACTGCAAGGCAGGGGAGGTCATGTGGGACCCTCACCCACCGCTCCGGCTGGGGGCTCCAGACCTACCCCCGCCCGCCCTAGGCCTTGGGCCCTGCAGAGTTGCAGGAAAGGGTCTCTGAGGACAAGTACGGGGACCCACCTCCTGCCCACACCCCTGCCTGTACCTTTGGTCTTGTCATCCTTAAAGTGCAGGTGCAGCAGCCTGCTCACCAGCTCCTGGAAGAGAGGGGGTGTCAGCCAGGCCCCACCCTCCCCCCGCACCCCCAGGCTGGTGATCATTCTGGGTGACAGTGGCTGTGATTTCCGGCTGGAGACGCCCTCTGCGCTTGGGCCTCTCCCAGGGCAGGGGACGAGGGCCAGCCTAGTGGTTAGGGTGGCAGAAGCTGGAGAAGCAGGATGTGTGGGCAGCTCCACTCGGGGCGCCAGGACTCTTCGCAAGGTCTGTGCAAGGAGCCTCCCTACAGTGAGTGGTCGTAGACACGGGAGCAGGCCCCGCTGCTGGGGCTCCAGGGAGAGTGGAGAAAGGCCTCATTGAGGCCGGGCGCGGTGGCTCAAGCCTGTAATCCCAGCACTTTGGGAGGCCGAGACGGGCGGATCACAAGGTCAGGAGATCGAGACCATCCTGGCTGACACGGTGAAACCCCGTCTCTACTAAAAAATACAAAAAACTAGCCGGGCGAGGTGGCGGGCGCCTGTAGTCCCAGCTACTCGGGAGGCTGAGGCAGGAGAATGGCGTAAACCCGGGAGGCGGAGCTTGCAGTGAGCTGAGATCCGGTCACTGCACTCCAGCCTGGGCGACAGAGCGAGACTCCGTCTCAAAAAAAAAAAAAAAAAAAAAGGCCTCATTGAGTCTGGCCTGATCTTGCACTCCCATCCCCGGCAGAGGGCCATGGCTCTGCTCTCCTTGTGGAGAGGCAGGGAAGGCAGAGCCCAGGTTGGGTCTGGAGGCTGGAGGTGGCTGCTCCCAGGTGGGCTGGACTGAGGGAGTACCACCCGTAAGGCCTTGCTTGTGCCAACTCTGTTCTGGGTGCTGGGTCAGCTCCACCAGTCCTGCCCTAGTGCTCATGATCCTGCAGGAGGTGCTGGTGTCCTGGGGGTACAGAGCTAGGCTGTGCCAGCGTGGTCCGCAGGCTGGAGTGAGGGGTGGGCCAGACGCTGAGGGCCCAGGGCCTGATCAGCTCTCCGTGGCAGGCAACTGGGAGTCCTTTCTAGGTTTTTTGTGGAAAGCAGCACTGGCATTTGAAAGGACCACTCTGGCTGCCAAGCCCGGGGTGGGGGGAAGGGAGGGGGCTGCAGAACCAGGGCCTTTCTGCCTTCCTGATGGACGGAGGACAGGGACAAGGGAGGAGTCCACGCTGAGACCCCAAAGGACAGCACTGCTCTGAGGAGATGGGGGGATGTGGGCATGTGTATTTTGGAGCCAGGACGCAGGAGCTCAGTTTGGGATGCATTGTGTGTGAACACAGGAGCTATCCACACAGAGTGGCGGGTGGCAGCGGCAGTGGTGGCGGCCGAGACTCAGGAGGGCAGCCCTGGGTGGCTGGTGGAGCCACGAGACTCAGTGAGGCGGCCCAGACCAGGCACTGGCCCACAGTGGCTGGGAAAGGAGCCAGCATGGAGCGTCCAGGGCTGGGGGCAGGGGCAGTGGGCGCCCAGGAGCCCAGAAACAGGCACTAACCTGTGAACAACCGGCCAGGCCGCCAGCGTCGGCCACAGGGAGGTCACAGCACCTCACCCAGAGCAGTCCAGCAGGTGACAAGCAGAGCATGGATGGGTGAAGCCCTGAGACGCGGGAGGTGAAATGTTCCCCAGCAGGGGGCAGCAGGGTCCAGCATCCCGGCTCGTCCTGAGCCCTCGCTGTCCCCTAGTCACCACCCGCATGAGCTCAGCGCCACCTGCTGGTCCTTCCTGCTGCTTACAGCCAGCAATACCGGAAAGGCTCCAGAAAACGTCCAGAAGGCACTACCTTCCCACCTGCTCCGAGACCCCACGCGAGAGTGGTGGATGCCGGGGCTGCCTTGACAATCTAAGGGGCTGCTCCGTACACCGGCAGCGGCGTCGGAAGGCAGGCCCAGCACTGGGGCGGTTGTGGGAGGGCCTGGGACACACCCAGCTTTGCCCCATGACCTGTGGGCGCCACACCAGGGCTGCAGGCCCCCTGCTCCCCGTCGTCTTCACACTCATCCTCTGCAATGACCACAACTCCAGCTCTGGCCAGAGCCCTTGGGCCTCTAGTTGTCAGGTGGGCTTGATGGAGAGAACACATGACCTCCTGGGGTGTGTCCCCAGTGCCCCCTCTCCAGCAGTGGCCTTTCAGCTACTCTAACCTGGTGGATTCTCCCAACCACCCAGTGAGGTGGCCCAGGCCTCAGTGACTTTCTCTTTCTGAGTTCTGGCGAGAATCTTCAGCAACGCCACCAGAGTGCCCCACACTGACCCCCTGCCGTCCCGAGTGATAAAGAAGGGCCCGATGCAGGAGAAACAAAGAATTCTCCCTGCTTCTACAGGACTTCCCTGAAGTCCTCCCCCCAGGATGGGTTCACAAGGGCCTGAGACCCTCCCTTCCCAGGCCACAGAGGCCCACGAGGCCCTGCTGACATTGAGGAAGCTCAGTGCCCCAACCTTCAGGTAGAGCAAAAGAAAGAAAGGCTCAGAAACCACTCTGCCTGCACCGATGGGACCCCGCACATGGACTCTGCACATGGCACCCTGTGAGAGCTCCACTTGCCAGGGGCAGGGAAGAGCGGGGCACGCCTTGCAGCCTGGGCGGATCCTGACTCAGACGGCCTGGGTCTGACCCTAGCTCTGCTGAGTCACTTAACGCCCCCGTGCCTCAGTTTCCCCACTCGCGGGTGGGGTTAATCCGTGTCAAGTGTGAGTAACGTGGAGTACCGAGGAAACCACGCGTTCCTAGCCCAGTGCTGGTGCCCACTAGGGAGCAGGCAAAAGGGAAACCACTGTGCCTGGCGGCTAGGGTAGGTCCTGCCGGCTCCTCAGGCTGGATGGTCTCACTGTCCCCGTCCTGGGGCCTGATCTCCCCTTAACAGGAGACCCCAGGCTCAGGGCGCAGGGCGGCGGCCCAGCTCGTCCTCTCTCTTCGCCGGCTTGGACTCCGCCATGACGGCGCCCACCCCTGCCTGTTTCTTTAGACCCTCTCCACCTTCCCGCAGCCCCGGCTGCCCCACGCGCCCTCCTACTAGCTGCGAGACCCCGCCCAGGAGGGCGCGGGGCGCGCGGCCGGGCTCGGGTCAGAGTCTGAGAACGGGCCCAACCTCAAAGACACAGGTGGGCGGCGCGGGGGCTGGCGTCTGGCCCTCACGGTGTCACGCGTGGGGTCGGGACGGAGCGTCCACACCTGCCTGGCCCCTGCCTCCCGGCCCTCACCTTCCGGAAGCCGGCTCCAGCTCCGGCTCCCTCCATGATCGCAGCATCGAAGCGCGCCCTCCGGAACCCCGCCCCTCCAGCCAATGAGAGCAGAGCGCGCCCTCGGAGCCCCGCCCCGCTCCCCTAGCCAATGAGCCCGGAGCGCCTTCTCTCGGAGCCCCGCCCCAAAGTCTCAGCCAATGAGGCCGGAGCGCGCCCTCCATCAGCCCCGCCCTCACGTCCCTCAGCCAATAAACCTGGAGCGCTCCCTTCCGGGACACCACCCTCACACCCATCAGCCAATGAGCCCGGGGCATGCCCCTTCGGGGCCCCACCCTCATGCCTCTAGCCAATGAACCTGGAGCGCGCTGCCCCCTTTCGGCTTGCGGCCCGAAGGGCGCGCCAGTTCCTTTTTTTTCATTGGCCCGCACCGAGGGCTGCCTGCGCAGAGCCTGCTGGGAGTTGTAGTTCCCGCGGCCTCTCCCGGGGCGCCTTTTTCTTCCTGGATACTGAGGCCCCGACGCGGCAGTCGCGAGGGCTGGGGTCGGGGCTGCAGGCGCGGCAGGGCCTGGAGGGGTCGCGCGACGCGCCTGCCTGCTTCCTGCACGGGTAGTCCCCAAGCACTGCGGGGCCCCAGCCCAAAGCGGACCTTGACTACCGCCCAGCCCCCGCGCTCCAGGACCTCCCGCCCGCAGAGCCCACTCGGAATCGTCTGGGTCGGCGGAGGCCCCGTCTGCCGTACCCGGCGCTGGGACTGCTCCGCACCGGGCGGCTCCCTTTAAGCAGCTGCGGGAGCATGCGGAGGAGGCCCTGCCGGCCCCGCGGGTCATGGAGGAGTTCCGGCGCTCCTACAGCCGCCTGTGCAGGGAGAGTGGGGCCGAGCCCCAGGAGGCTGTCCTGCAGCAGCTGCACCAGCTTCCCAGGGGCCGGCTGGACCTGGCCACGCAGAGCCTGACGGTGGAGACCTGCAGGGCCCTGGGCAAGCTGCTGCCGAGGGAGATGCTGTGCACGGAGCTGGTCCTGAGTGACTGCATGCTCAGCGAGGAAGGTGGGCAGGCGCGGCGGGGTGGATCCCTCTGCTCCTTAGCTGCCCGCACTGTTGCCTCGGCAGCCCCAGAGGTCGCTTCCTCTCCAGGCTCTCCTCTTTCTGTGCCGCAGTTAAAGCGAGCAGGGGCGCCCCTTCCTGCACCTGGGAGTAGAGGACAGTTCCTCTGTAGGACAGGGGAGAGACCTTAACATGTCCCGCTTAGCTGGTTCCCCGCGTGCTGAGCCGGCTTGGTGCCTGACAGGGGCTGCAGGTGTTTCAAACATGACTTCACAGCGAGACTCTTGGCCAGCGCCAACCCAGACCACCGGGACAGTTGTCCCTCCCTGGGTCTAGGGAGCTGCCCTGAAAAGGGGCCAACGGGGAGGATCTTGGGGTCAGGAGGGGCAGAGAGTGACCGCTGGCCCCCCTTACACAGGGGCCACACTGCTGCTCCGAGGCCTGTGTGCCAACACCGTGCTGCGCTTTCTGGACTTAAAGGTGAGAGACCTGCGCTTTTGAGTGTCCGAATGTGCCACCCCGGCAAGAGGAGAGGGGGAAGATGCCAGGTGTCAGGGGCCGGGGGTCTGGGCAGGTGGCTGGAAACTGTCTGTGAGTCCCCAGGCTGTTCTCTGATGGCCTCCTGTGTGTGACCATCTCCGGAGCAAGAGTTCATGTCGGCAAACAAGCCGGCCCTTGGAAGCCCCTTGAAGGCAGGGAGCCCAGGAGCTGAGGGAGGCTGCACCTCCCTGCAGAGTGCACCCCAGCCTTGTCCCCTGGCTGACCAAGGCCCTTGGGGCATGGGCGGGAATTCAGAGCCAGTCAGGGCACGGGAGTGACTGACGGCCTGTTTCTCTCCTAGGGCAACAATCTTCGGGCCGCAGGGGCTGAGGCTCTGGGAAAACTCCTCCAACAGAACAAGTCCATTCAGAGGTGGGGGGTGGTCCGGACCCACCATCACCGCAGGCCCTGTCTCTGTGGTTGAGGATTGGCCCCAGAGCACATGGTTCTGCAGCCCGAGTTCCACACTGCCAGTTGCCCGTGTTTCACATACGCTGGCAGGGAGTAGTCAGAGGCTCCGGCCCATCAGACCCCAAGCCCACACCTATCCCTAAGCCCTGGACCCCACAGGCCAGGCTGTCCCCTAGGCAAACTCTGGTTCCTGCTCCTCCTGCAGCCTCACGCTGGAGTGGAACAGCCTGGGCACGTGGGACGATGCCTTCGCCACCTTCTGCGGGGGCCTGGCGGCCAACGGCGCCCTGCAGCAGCTGGACCTCCGCAACAACCAGATCAGTCACAAGGGCGCTGAGGAGCTGGCCCTCGCCCTGAAGGGCAACACCACCCTCCAGCAGCTGGGTGAGGCCTCCCAGGCGCCTCAGGCTCCTTCATCCCTCTGAGGCTGCCTTTGCTCTTGGAAGTGAGGGGCTAGGGGACTTGCCTGCGTTCCTGCTCTGTTGACCACAAGGCAGTGCCCCACAGGGAAGCACCCTGGCCAGGCCAGCTCCCCCTCTGCCAGGTGCATTCTGTCTGGTGACTACAGGTTTCCTTCCAGACCTGCGCTGGAATAACGTTGGCCTCCTTGGGGGCCGGGCCCTCATGAACTGTCTCCCCAGCAACAGAACCCTGTGGAGGCTGGACCTGGCTGGGAACAACATCCCCGGGGATGTCCTCAGAGCCGTGGGTACGGTGCGGGGCTGTGTGGAGCGTTGTGTCAGCCTTTGACGGAGGCCTGTCCGCTGAGGTCGGGGTGCTCGGCTCAGGACTGGAACTGATGAGGAGAGCAGCCTGAGCGCCCAGGGGAAGCGGGAAGGAGCAGAGGGGTCGTGGGGCACCTGTTTGGCACTTGATTGGCGTTGACTACACATTGGCATTGTCTGAGGCGCCCTGTGCTTGCTGAGTTCTTACGACCTGTGCAGTGGCGGCGTGCCCATTTCACAGCTGGGAAAGCTGAAGCCGTGTGGCTCACAGCCCTGGCCTTGATGGCTTTGCTGATGTTTCAGGTGGCCCAGGCCTTGGCCAGGAAGGCTCCCTGGTCACCCTGAGTTTGTGGCCCTGCATGTGAGTCATGAGAGGTGGGGCCGCCTGGCCTGTGTTGGCCTCCACATTCCCTCCCACCAGCGACCCCAAATCCTTGCAGCTGATGTCTCAGCCTTAGGCCCCAGTGCCCTAGACCCAGCTGAGAACTTTGCCAGGCCCCGTACTCCCTAATCCACGCACAGCGGCAGCCTCTTCCGGCCCCTGTGCTGAGGGCTCACCCCTTCTGCTGACTCTGCCTGGCCTCTGGCTCCAGCTGCACCGTCCCTGGCTTTGCCTCAGTGCTGCCCTGGGTGTTGTCATCGCTCCTGACCTCTGCCCCCTAGCCACATGCCACCCAGATCTTTCCAGAACATGAGCTGGGCACAGCGTTCGCCTCAGCATTGTGCGGTGCCCCTTGACCTTTGGGATGGTGGCCAGATGCCCCAGGATGGCCCTCGCCTTTTGCGGTGTAGCAGCCCCCACCACCTCTGCCCCACGTGTGCCTGCACCCCCCAACACCAGGTGCCTCCTGCTCACAGCCCCAACCCCACGAAGCACCTTCCACCCTCATGCACTGAGGGGGCACCCCTGACTTGCCAGGAGAGACGTTGCCCTACAAGGCATAGATTCCCAAGCAGCCAGCCGCCGGGTGCAGGGCTGGTGGCCACCAGCCACTCCTGAGGCTAAGCAGCTCCGGGGTGACACAGCTCCGTGTGTGTGTGTGTGTGTGTGACTGAGTTCGCTCTGTCACCCAGGCTGGAGTACAGTGGCGCAATCTCAGCTCACTGCAACCTCCACCTCCCGGGTTCAAGCGATTCTCCTGCCTCAGCCTCCTGAGTAGCTGGGATTACAGGTGTGCAATACCATGCACGGCTAATTTTTTGCATTTTTAGTAGAGATAGGGTTTCATCATGTTGGCCAGGCTGGTCTCGAACCCCTGACCTCAGGTGATCCGCCCACCTCGGCCTCTCGAAGTGCTGAGATTCCAGGCATGAGCCCCTGCGCCCGGCTGACACAGCCCCTTCTGCAGAGCAAGCCATGGGCCACAGCCAGGACCGGCTCACCACCTTCCAGGAGAACCAAGCCCGCACTCACGTGCTCAGCAAGGAGGTCCAGCACCTCCGGGAGGAGAAGTCCAAGCAGGTGAGAATGGCACCTTCACTGACCTTGGAGCTGCTCGTGGCTGGAGGGCCTGGCCATGTCCTGCCTCCTTCGGCCCCGTGGTCTGCCCACCTTCCCTTCCTTGGGGCCGCAGAGCCCGTCTGAGTGGCTCTTACCGGGAAGGACGGCGGCCTCCTGGTCTGATCTCCTGCAGGTGGGCTTCCTTGGGGAGCTGGTGCCTGAGCCCCAAGGCCTCCCTCTGCAGGAGCCACCCTTCCTGTGAAGGAGACAGGGCGCTGTGGGTGGAGCCCTTTGCTGCCTTGCTGTGTTGGTGGGCGCCGGCTCTCCTTCCCCCGAGAAGGTCGCGTGGACAGGCTGTAGGTGCTCTGACAGGGCTGTGGCTGTCTCTGTCCCCAGTTTCTGGACTTGATGGAGACCATTGATAAGCAGCGGGAAGAGATGGCCAAGAGCAGCAGGTGAGCGGGCGCAGGGCAGGGGCAAGACAAGGCTTCAGGGATTGGGTCCTGGCTCAGACTCAGATGGGACCAACCTGAGCCCACAAGTGAGACCACGAGGTGGTGGCTGGAGGCTCAGTGCCCAGGCGACCGTAGATGCTTAAGGAACAGCAGCAGCTACCGAGGCCAGAGGGGTACGGGAGCGCTCTGGGGTTTGGGTTACTCTCTGCACCCTCCTCTCTGCCCACAGGGCGTCAGCAGCCCGTGTAGGACAGCTTCAGGAAGCCCTGAATGAGAGGCACTCCATCATCAACGCTCTCAAGGCCAAGTAAGTAGGGGGTGGCTCAGGATACTTCAGAAACGTGCCCACAGCGCAGAGGAGGGTGGTGTGAGCCTGTGTGCAAGTCCTGTTTGCAAAGTAGAGGTGGGAAACGGCGAGGCTGGGGCAGTAACCCAGAAGCCTTCCTGGGAGGCGGGTGCTGGCTGGGGTTCACTAGGCGCCCAGCAACAGTGAGAGCAGCGAGGACTTTGTAAGGCATGTGAAGCTCCAGCCGGGGCGGGGGTGCTGCCCTTCCTTTCTGCAGGCTGCAGATGACGGAGGCCGCCCTGGCTCTGTCAGAGCAGAAGGCCCAGGACCTGGGGGAGCTCCTGGCCACAGCGGAGCAGGAGCAGCTGAGCCTATCGCAGAGGCAGGCCAAGGAGCTCAAGCTGGAGCAGCAGGTGGGTGGGCGGGCTTGAGACGGGTGGGCGGCAGCTTCGTGACCCTCACTGCCCATACCACGTTCCCCTCCCAGGAAGCTGCGGAGCGGGAGTCTAAGCTCCTCAGAGACTTGTCTGCTGCTAATGAAAAGAACCTGCTTCTGCAAAACCAGGTAGCTGTGGGGGAGCCAGGGGGAGCCCAGGGTGGGCACGGCAGGGCCGGGCTGCAGCTTCCCTCTCTGGTGCCGGCTTTCCAGGTAGAGGAGTTGGAGCGGAAGGTCAGGTGTCAGCAGGAGCAGCTGTTCCAGACCAGGCAGGAACTGACCAGCACATCAGCCGAGCTGAAGATGCGGGCCATCCAGGCCGAGGGTGGGCATGGGCAGGCCTGCTGTGGAAGGGTTGGGGATGGGCACCCTGGGGACAGGGTCCCCCAGGGGATGCTTACACACGCTCTGCCCCCTGGGCTTCCAGAGCGCCTGGACATGGAGAAGAGAAGATGCAGACAGAGCCTGGAGGACTCGGAAAGCCTGCGCATCAAGGAGGTGCCCTCTTTGTTGGCCTCATCTGGCCTCTAACGCTCCTCAGCTTCTGTCCTTGGCGTCATGCAGGTGTCCCCAAAGCACATGCCCGGTAGGAGCTCCCCTTGCCAACCTGGGGTCACTGGGTGGCCGTATTTTGCCAGCCTGAGCGGATGTCAGACCCAGAACCTTCTATTGGGGCTGGCAGGGGACCCCGGCCATGCCTCAGCCGTAGTACAGGCTGCCGCTGAAGAGATACCAAGCCCCACCTGTGCAGCCTGCGCATGCTAGGGTAGTTTCCTGCTAGGCCACCCGAGGCAGTGCTTTCTCAGAATGAACAAGGTTCCCAAGAGACGCCTGCCTTCCAGGGTGGGGAGTCCATGGGGCGAACAGGGAGGCCCGGCTCTCCAGCCTGGCCCCACAATTCCTGCCCCTGAGCAGGTGGAGCATATGACCCGGCACCTGGAGGAGAGTGAGAGGGCCATGCAGGAGCGGGTGCAGAGGCTGGAGGCTGCTCGCCTGTCCCTGGAAGAGGTGAGCGCCCACCAGGCAGGGCCAAGCTCTGCCTTCACGCTGGGCTGAACAAGGCAGGCACCCCTGATGTTCACCACCTCAGGACCACAGAGACCCCTTCCTGCCCTCAGAGCCTCATACGTCCCACTTTGGGGACCCACCCACCAGTGTGCCCAAGAAGCTAGAGGGACTTAGGTGGCATTCGGGCTCCGTTGGCCGTAGGCACCTTGCCCAGCGAGCTAGGTGGCAGAGCAGCTGCGTGGCCCTCAGGAGGCTGGCAGAGAGGAGCTCCCCTCGTTGGGGTTGGCTGGATGGGCCAGAGAGAGAAGGGCCTTGGGCCAGGAACAGGAGAACGCACTGGCAGGTGACCGTCTATGTAGGAGTTGGGCCGAGTGAAAGCAGCGGCACTCAGCGAGCGTGGCCAGGCGGAGGAGGAGCTGATCAAGGCCAAGAACCAGGCCCACCTGGAGGAGGTGAGCCACACAGATGTCCACCACCCTCTACGAGAGCCAGGCTGCCCAGCATCACGGTCCACATGCAGACTCCAGAGCCGCGGTCTGAGTGGGGAGGCGGGAGTGTGGTGTTGAGGTCAGATCAGCACACCCTGGACACTGTTGGGTCGGCTTCAGCCTTAGATCAGGGCCTGAGATAGTGGAAAGGTTTGGCTCATCTCTGCAGCCTGTGACTACACGCATGGAGGGACTGGAAGGGTGGTATGACCGGAGAGGGAGGAGGGGAGCCCAGAGGGCATCTGGAGGAGGTGGCTGCCAGGGGAGCAGGTTCAGAGTCGCAGTAACTAGAGCAGCCAGTCCTGCAGAGGGGTGGGGTCGTGCCCATGCAGACATTCCCTCAGGTGAGCTCAGGCTGAGCCCCTCATGCTCCGTGGCGGCTCCTGTGCTCACAGCGACAGCGTCTGGCTCACCTGGAGGACAAGCTGCGACTGCTGGCGCAGGCACGGGACGAGGCGCAGGGCGCTTGCCTGCAGCAGAGGCAGGCGGTGGCCGAGGCCCAGACCCGGGCCAGCCAGCTGGGCCTGCAAGTGGAGAACCTGCGGCGGCGCCTGGAAGAGCTGCAGCAGGTAGCCGGGGCTCCAGCGGGGGGCCCCAGGCGTGCTAGTCCGACCCCTCACCTTACTCCCCAACCTTCGTGGCTGGCAGGAGCTGAGCCTCAAGGACCAGGAAAGGGTGGCCGAGGTGAGCAGGGTGCGCGTGGAGCTGCAGGAGCAGAACGGCCGGCTGCAGGCAGAGCTGGCAGCTCAGGAGGCGCTGAGGGAGAAGGTGGCGGCCCTGGAGCGCCAGCTGAAAGGTGAGCCAGACCCTCGCCGTCTCGCCGCCCACTGGTGGGACGTGAGGCTAGCCAGAGAGCGGGGCTGGCCAGGTCTCCCGTGCTGAGGCCATGCCACCGTGCGCTGGGACTGCGCCCGCTCACTGCGCTCCTTGCCCTGCAGTGATGGCGAGCGACCACCGAGAGGCGCTGCTGGACAGGGAGAGCGAAAACGCGTCTCTCCGGGAGAAGCTGCGGCTCCGGGAGGCGGAGATCGCCCGCATCCGGGACGAGGAGGCCCAGAGAGCGAGCTTCCTGCAGAACGCCGTCCTGGCTTACGTGCAGGGGTCCCCCGTGAGGACCCTGAGCCCCCCAAAGTGAGGCAGGCCGGGAGGACCCGGGCGCAGCAGGAGTACATCAGGCGGCGCCCGAGATGGACCGGGGGCCGCCTCCCACCCGCGCCGCCCCTTGAGACCGGGTCGTCTGTTCCACGCGGGGGTTGCGGTGACTGGAGGTGGTGCCGCGGCTGCCGGGCGATCCCGTGGGAGGCGCCTGGGAAGGGCTCCCTCGCTGCCCCTTCATCCCGGTCGACGCCACCTGGAAGCGCACCAGGAAGGGGTCCCGCGGGCGCGTCTCCCCCTCGCCTTTTGCGATGTCACCGTGAACGCTGCAGCCGCCTGCGCGCGGCGGGGTTTGGAAATACAGCGCGTTTGCACTTTGTGATACATTCTGGCCCCGCCTCTCCCTCCAAACGCGCGACCCTCCTTGCCTCTCTCCAAACGCGCGGCCCTCTGCCCCCAGCCCTGCAGGGAGGGCCTGCCGGGGTGCGGCCGTTCGCCCCTCCTCGCCGCTGCCTGGAGGGACGGGAGGGCCGCTGGGACAGTCCGTCTGGGGGTTCGGGCGGCTGCAGACCCCGGAGTTCCCAGCTGGCTCCCGGCGGCAGGGGGCGGGTCCCCGAGAACGCGCAGCGCGCGCAGCTGTCCCCGCTGGGTCCAGGTCGCTGGGCTCTCTCCGGCCTGCAAGGCGCCCCGAGGGACCTGCAGGAGACCCCCGGGCAGGGGACGCGCTAGAGGCGGGGGCTCCGCGGCTCGCGCAGCTCTGCCCGGGTTCGGGCGGCCCCGCCCCCAAAAGCCGCGCGGCCGGCGCGCCACCCGCCCGCCCGCCCCCGCGCCCCGCCGGCCGCGGCATCGGCTGTCTCCGCGCCCGCGCTCGGCGGCGATCGGCTGTCTTCCGGCCGTCGTCCTGGCGCTCGGTCCGGCGGCGCTGCGGGCGCCGCATTTTCTCCGGCAGCCTCTGCTCGCGGCCGCGCCGCGCCGCCGGCCCGCGCCCATGCAGGCCATCAAGTGCGTGGTGGTCGGCGATGGGTGAGTGCGCGGCCCGGAGGTCGCTCGGCTGGGCTGGGCCGGGGGGGGTCGGGGGCTCAGGGCGCCGCCGGGGCGGGGCGGGGGTGGCGCCCGGGTCCTCGCGAGGCGGCCCCGCAGTACCCCGCCCGAGCCGCGTGCGCCCCGGGGCCGAGGAGGGCGGGGTGGGGCGGGGTGGGGCGGGGCGGGTTCCGCGGGCCTCCAGCTTGGGCCCACCTGATGCTGCCCGGCTCCCGTCCGGGCTGGCTGCCGGCGAGGCGGGGCCGCCGCCCTGTCCTCCCAGTGGGTGGGGCCAGGCCTCTCACCTGGGCTGAACCCTTCGCCGGCCCCACCCTCCCCTGCCGCCACCCTCGGAGTCGGGGCCTCTGCCTGGGGCCCCAATGTTGGGCGCGCTGCGCCCCCATTCACCACCCCAGCCCCCGGAGCCCGGCCTGCCCTGGTCGTCCTCCAGCCCTAGGTCGCCGCGGATCTGGTGGGCTGGGACCCCCGTCTCCACCCCAGACGCCCCTAACTCGCCTCTGGCTCCTGGGGAGGGGGTTGCCCTTGCTGGGCAGAGGGTCCGAGGCCGGGCCTGGGAGCCACGTGGCTTGCCCTGTCCGCAGCGCCGTGGGGAAGACATGCTTGCTGATCAGCTACACGACCAACGCCTTCCCCGGAGAGTACATCCCCACCGTGTGAGTGTGGGGGCTTCCCCGGAGAGCACAGGCCCTCCGTGTGAGTGTGGCATGGGGGATTCATGGGCACGATCTCCCCTGGGCTTCCATGTCGGCTCAGGTGGCCCTGTCTCTGGGCTTCCCGGCTGGGGCTGAGGTGCTGGCTAGAGTTCTAGTTCCGTGCAGAGTTGTGAAACCCAAGACACAGGCCGGCAGGGCCAGGGGTTTCTGGGACCCCTCCGAAGCCCTGACCCTGCCCTCACTACTCTGCAGTTTTGACAACTACTCGGCCAACGTGATGGTGGACGGGAAGCCGGTCAACCTGGGGCTGTGGGACACGGCGGGGCAGGAGGACTATGATCGGCTGCGGCCACTCTCCTACCCCCAAACTGTAGGTGACAACGGGGCCAGCCCCGGGAGCTGGGTGGGTCCCTGAGGTCGTGATGAGGGAGGGAGCAGGGCCCTGGGGAGCCCTTGACCACTCCACCAGGCCCCACCTTCTTCCCAAGGACGTCTTTCTGATCTGCTTCTCCCTGGTGAGCCCGGCCTCCTTCGAGAACGTTCGTGCCAAGGTAGGGCAAGGCTGGGGGCCCCTGTGGGGAGAGGGCTTGCTCCAGAACCTGCCCGGAGAAGTTGTCCTTTAGAGGCAATTGAGATAAGGTTCTGCCTGGAGTAGGCACATGGGGTGGGGTCTGAAAATGACCGTGGGGGCTGATGGGGTGGCGTAGTGGTGGTGGGCACAGCTCTCAGAACGGAGGGGCAGTTACCAGAGGCTCTGTCTGCTGAGGATGGGCCTTGACTGGGAGGCCCTGGGAGGTCTCCAAGTTCCCTGGCTGCGTGTTTTTTCTCAATATCTCCCCACCAAATCCGCCCCTGGTCACCCCTTGAAGGAGGAAGAGCCAAGTGTAGCTCTGGAGCAGTGGGGAAAGTCCCGGAGGGCCGTGACTTGCTCAGGTGGGGCTGGGGTAGCAGACTCCGGGCCTGGGGTCAGAGCGTCTGTCCCTGCAGTGGTACCCGGAGGTGCGGCACCACTGCCCCCACACGCCCATCCTCCTGGTGGGCACCAAGCTGGACCTCCGCGACGACAAGGACACCATTGAGCGGCTGCGGGACAAGAAGCTGGCGCCCATCACCTACCCACAGGGCCTGGCCATGGCCCGGGAGATTGGTGGGTAGGCGCAGGCGGCCTGCAGGGGAGGGGTGGGGAGGCTTCGCTGTACCCCACCCTCATTGTCTCCCCTCCTCACTGCCTAGGCTCTGTGAAGTACTTGGAGTGCTCAGCCCTGACCCAGCGGGGCCTGAAGACAGTGTTTGACGAGGCAATCCGCGCAGTGCTCTGCCCGCCGCCAGTGAAGAAGCCAGGGAAGAAGTGCACGGTCTTCTAGAGCCCTGGCACCCCTGAGCCTGAGGGCTGGCGGGGAGCAGCCCTAGACGTGTCCGCTGTTGTGTTGAGACGTGTGGTGTCCCTGAGTTGGCTGTGGGGAGCAGTGAGGGTGGGCAGGGGGGAAGCATGGGGATGAGGCTGGGCGGCAGGATCCTGTCCTCTCTGCTGCCTCATTCTGGGGTGTGGCTCCAGCCTTCCCTGGCCCCCGCTGGAGGCCAGGAGGGAGCAGGGTCTCCCTCAGGGCTGCAGGGGCAGGTGCAGGGAAGCCCCAGGATGGGCTTCCCTGGAGGGGGAGGGTGGGGGGGAGTTCTGTCCATTGCGCCCCGAGGCGGGGCGGCCCCTTCTTATTTTATACAATAAACATTCTCCACCTACACCTCTTGCCTCTCACTACCTGCCCTTCTGCCCTGGGGCGGTTTGCTCCTAATTCCCCCAAGTGATGGTGCAGAGCAGGTTGTCACCCCAGCCGCACCTCACCTCGGAGCCGAGTTCCCAGAGGGCAGCACTAAGCTTCCTCCACCCCACCCCAGGGAAGAGGGGCCTGAGCTGCTGAGCCCCCAAAGCAGCCGACCCAGATCAAAGCAATAGCTAGTGCATTGAGCCCTTGGGATGTTTGCTTGGCTGTGTACAAGGCTCCCTCAGGCTGATGTGCGCCTCTGGGAGGGCACATGTCGGGGAGAGGCCGGCCTGGTTCTCAGGCAGCTCCTGTTGTGCTGACTGGGACAGTCTGAAAAGAGGCTGAAGCAGGTCAGGCCTCTCGGAGCCCCATGGGAGCCAAGGCAGCCTCCCCCCATCCCTCGGCTCCTCTGGCTGGCACTGGGAGTAAGGGCAATCCAGGCGGAGGGGCAGGGTGGAGGAGGGCATGGAGGTCGGGGTGTGGTGTGGAAAGCGAAGAGAGCAGCGACCCAGCACAGTCTGCTGACGCTGAAGCCAGAAACGGTGGGCCCCGAACCATGGTCCTGGGCGTGGAGTCACTCGGGATTGGAGGGTGCCCTGAGGGCCACCGTCTGCTTCTGCCTGGTGCTGTGTGGGGGCAGCTCCTACTGGCTCAGGAAAGCCGACTGCGGAATTCTCAAGAATTTTGCTAGCCAGTTGTTAATGATCATTAACAATTAAATTATAGAAGTTTACAATTTGTGTTATTAAAAGCAAAGTCAACAAACATCACTTCCTAGTTATTTCTGGACACAGGACTGTTTTCTCTGCCCCGGGTTATGTACATCTGCGGCACCTAGGGACACAGACACCACATAACGGGGTGCTGAGGGCATCTCTTCCAGCTCCCCATTCAATGACATCTAACTGGTAGCTTGAAATCAGCTGTGGTGGGAGTATTTACACCATGGGAATTGGCAAATTCTTCACATTGGGACTTGATTTACAGTTACTTGTCTAGACTTAAGATGATTAAAATGTAGATTAGACTTCAGGGTGCTGTGTCTGCTCATTACCTTGTGAACAGCACAAGTTGAGGAAATGCTCTTCTAGTATCCAAAAACCATCTGATTCAACAAAGTGGCTCAGGTCACTGATGAAGTGGAGAAGCTTGACATCCTCCTTGTTTCCCTTTTGTCTTACTCATTAGCTTAAAGGAAGAGGAGCCAACCGTATACTCACAGAGCGGGTGATCAACAAGCACACACTGTCTCACCCCAGAGGTTCTGGACAGGTCCAAAGACCAACCTTGCTGAAATTCACCACCCTCTTTAGGAGCTGGCCTTTCACCACCTCCTACCTCCCTGACAGCAAACTGGCCAAGCCTGAAGACCTCAGGAGTGGGAGCCAGGCTCCGCCTTGGATTGGAATATGAATCTCATGGGTCTCTGCCCGCATTCCATACCAGGCCCCAAGCCCCCAGCTACCTGCTGGCAGCCTAGGAATAGCACATAGCCTGGGCAGCAGAATCAGGTTTATTGGAGGGATTGGGGGTAGGATGGGCACAGCATGGGGTTTGAGGTGTGTGGAGGGACCTCAGTTGGCCCAGAAGCCCCCTTCCACCGGCAGAGTGGAGCCCGTGGTCATGCCGCTTCGGTCACTCAGCAGAAAGAGGATGGCATCCACCACATGCTCTACCTCTGTGGGCAGGGCGGGGGTCAGGGGCATAGATGAAGGAGGCTGTCGCCCATCTTTCCCTCCCACCCCTGCCCAGGGCACGCACAGGGGCTGCTGGCACCACACTGGCTGATCTCCCACCTGACTCACCAGCAAACTTGCCAAGTGGGATTCGGTCCAGCATAGTCTTGGCCTTGCAGGGGTCACTCCAGGCGGCCTGGCCCATGGGCGTCATCACCACTGTGGGGTTTACTGCATTCACTCGGATCTACACCGGGACAGCTGGGGTCAGCAGGGCGAGTGGGGTGCCCGAGGTTGGGGGAGGTACCCCAGCCCTGCTCACCTTGTGGGGCCCGAGTTCTAGGGCCATCACCTTGGTCAGCATGTCCAGGGCACCCTTGGTGGAGCCTGTGAAGAGGAACCCAAGCTGGCTGTGGCTGGGGTTGGTGATGCGGGTGAGGCTGGGGTGGGGGTGGGGCTGAGGGCACAGCTGGGGTACTCACAGTAGACGCTATGGTTAGTTACTGCCCGCTGGGAGCACTGGCTGGAGATATTCACGATGGCCCCCGGGGCTCCCCGGGCTATTAAGCCCCTGGCCACGATCTGAAATTGCAGCGAGACCGTGAGGCAGAGCTGGCACCACTCATCAGAATTCCCGTCCAGCCCGCAGGGCAGCTCACCTGTGACACCTGGATGACCGCACGCAGGTTCACTTCAAAGGATCTAGAGGCCGAAGGACAGACCCTGGTCAGAGATTAGGGCTGCTGCCTCCTCCGGGACAGCCCTTCCCTGAGGTTTCTCCGCCCTCACAGGCTCACCTGTCAAAGGCATCCTTGGTGACCTCCAGGAAGGGCTGCAGCAGGGCGACAGCGGCGTTGTTCACCAGCAGGTCCACGGGGCCCACGCTGCCCAGCGCCCGCTCGGTGGCCTCCCAGTCACCCAGGTCCACGCACACGGGCTCTATCCCCGGGCACTGTGTGTATCAGGGGGCAGTTACCAGAGGCTCTGTGCCCAGCAAGCGGCACAGCTGGGGACTGGGGCTGGTGACCTTTCAGCCGGACAAGGAAAGGAGTTAGGAGCTCCGGAGGTGTCAGGACTGTGGGGCCAGCAGCCAGGCGCTACCTCCGGCCGGGTCACTTCCTCCCCGCGCCCGAGAGACTCCTGCCCGGGGCCTGCTCCGCAGCCATTTCGGCCTCTTTCTGAGCCCGGGGGCCCTGGCAGCTCTGCCGGCCGCCCGACCGCCCACGCAGGCCACCAGCCCCGGAAGACGGTGCGAGGGCGCCCAGGCCGCGGTGAGAAGCGCAGCGCCCGCGAGGGGAGGCAAAGTCGCGCACGGGGATACCGCCCCCGCTGGCTGGCGCCCCCTCCTGGCTCGCCGGCTCGCCGCCTGGCAGCCCTGGGACCCGGCGGGGCCTACCTCGCGGACGAGGCTGTCAAGATCCGCCTGTGTTCGGCTCACGGCCACCACCCGCGCGCCCGCCGCGTGCAGCGCCTGGACCGTGCCGCGCCCGATACCTGCCAGGAGCGTGGCTCAGTGAGGGCATCCCCTGCCGCCTCTGCCCTCCGCCGGCCTTTACCGACCTTTCCCCGCCGCCCACCTTTGCCCGCCCCGGTGACCAGCACCCGGCGGCCCGCGAGACCCAACTCCATCTCCGCACAGTCTCCGCCCTGCGTACTGGGGCCGCCGGACTTGAAGGTCTGGCCACGGTGGGCGGGGCGGGGCGGGGCCAATGGCAGGGCGGCCTTCAGATAGGGGGCGGGGACATTCAAATAGCTGCTCCCCACTGCGGTGATTGACTGAAAGGAGTGGGCGCACGGGAGAGGGGCGGGGTCTCCGCTGCCGCAGGGACGGGTCTTTTTTTTTTTTTTTTTTTGAGACAGAGTCTCGCTCTGTCGCCCAGGCTGGAGCGCAGTGGCGCGATCTCGGCTCACTGCAAGCTCCTGCCCGGCTAGTTTTTTGTATTTTTTAGTAGAGACGGGGTTTCACCGTGTCAGCCAGGATGGTCTCGAACTCCTCACCTCGTGATCCGCCCGTCTCGGCCTCCCAAAGTGCTGGGATTACAGGCGTGAGCCACCGCGCCCAGCCCAGGGACGGGTCTTTTGAACTGCCTGGTGTGACCCATCCTCCGTGCTTGAAATCGATTTAGTGGACCCTGGCTAGCGTATTTTCCCCTGCCAAGATTATTGCAAAAAGACGATGTGGTGGTTAATGTTAGAAAGAACGTGTGGTTAATATCAGGAAGAACACGTGAAATGGAGAATTCAGGGCTAACATTTCTTGTTTTGTTTCTAAAAACACCCACATGTCCTAAAAAGTGTCGCCTGTGCCCATTATCTCTCAGGCTTGACAGCAGGACACCGCTGGCTCACTTGTAAAGCCAAGGGAAAGAATTTGGACCACCAAGTACCTCTGGAGAAGACACCAATGTCAGCAGAGCTCCGATTTCATCTGTGGGCGGAGGATTACCTAGGTGCCAAGGCAAGAGACTGAAGACGCAAACTGTTTCAGTATAATAAAGAAAATAGTTAGGCCGGGCGCGGTGGCTCAAGCCTGTAATCCCAGCACTTTGGGAGGCCGAGACGGGTGGATCACGAGGTCGGGAGATCGAGACCATCCTGGCTAACACGGTGAAACCCCGTCTCTACTAAAAAAATACAAAAAAAAACCTAGCCGGGCGAGGTGGCAGACGCCTGTAGTCCCAGCTACTCGGGAGGCTGAGGCAGGAGAATGGCGTGAACCCGGGAGGCGGAGCTTGCAGTGAGCTGAGATCTGGCCACTGCACTCCAGCCTGGGCTACAGAGCGAGACTCCGTCTCAAAAAAAAAAAAAAAAAAAAAAAGAAAATAGTTAAAATGAAAATAGTCATAATACAAATTGGATATAAAAATGATCATGGATAATTATCAATCATTAGTATAAACATTAATCATTGGCTTTTAATATTACTCTTTGTTGCATTACTAATATAACCTAGGAACAATGTGAGAAGTGACCTAGAAGACAAGAAGTGAGCACTCTGTCACGCCCGCATAAGGGCCGCTTGAGGGCTCCTTGGTCAAGCGGTAATGCCAGTGTCTGGGAAGAAGACACCCGTTACTTAACAGACCGCGAAAGGGAGTCCCCTCTCCTTGGAGGAGTCAGGGAACATTCTGCTCCACCAGCTTCTTGTGGGGGGCTGGATATTATCCAGGCTCGCCCGCAGTCATCCGGAGGCCTAAACCCCTCCTTGTGGTGGTGTGCTTTAATGGTCACGTTTCTTGTCCACTTTCATGTTCCTCCCGTACTCCTGGTTCCTCTTTAAAGTTCGTAGCAGATAGTAGTGGAAGAAATAGTGAAAGTCTTAAAGTCTTTGATCTTTCTTATAAGTACATAGAAGAAAATGCTGACGTATGCTGCCTTCTCTCTGTTTCAGCTACTTAAAAGGGAAGGGCCCCCCTGTCCTATGATCACATGACTTGCTTGACATTATCAATCACTTGAAAGAGTCACCCTCCTTACCCTGCCCCCCTTGTTTTGTATGCAATAAATATCAGTGCGCGCAGCCATTCGGAGCCACTATTGGTCTCCACGTCTTGATGGTAGTGGTCCCTCGGGCCCAGCTGTTTTCTCTTTATCTCTTTGTCTTGTGTCTTTATTTCTCACAATCTCTTGTCTCTGCACACGGGGAGAAAACCCGCTAAGCCCCATAGGGCTGGACCCTACCTTCATCTGAAAGGGACCTGAACCCCAGGTCGCCTCAGACAGCCAGCATCCGCCCAGGGGCACCTTTTAGAAGTTGAATAGGATAGGAAGGGATTGGTGTCATGAAAGTACATGGTGGTCCAGCAAAGACCAGCATTGCTTCCCAAGGCTTTGGAATTGTAGCAGGACCAGCCGCAGACAAAACTCCTCAGACACCGGATTAAGGAAGAAAGAGGTTTTTTATTCGTCTGGGAGTGTCGGCAGACTCACGTGTTAAGAGCCGAGCTCTCCAAAAAAGAAATGTTTGACCTTTTTAAAGGCTTACAACTTTAAGGGGTCCACGTGAAAGGGTCGTGATAAATCCAGCAAGCGTGGGATTTAATGATGCTACATGCATCAGCTAACAGAACAAAAAGTTTTACTATGTTTTTTTCATACAGTGTCTGGAATTTACAGATAACACAAGTAGTTTAGGTCAGGGGTTGATGTTATTATTACTACTTTTTTTTTAAACTCCTGGGGCCGAGTAGTGGTGCCAAGGTTGTCTGGCTATTTATCTTATTTTTGTTTCTTTCTCTCTTTCCTCCTGTCTTGTGAACTAGGCAAGGTGGCGGGGGTGTGGGAGGAGGGCAGCAGGAGTAGTAGTGGTCTCCGTCCTTATCCCCCTCTTTGAGAATTTTCACAATTAGTGGGAGTTCTCACTTTTATTATTTGAAGGAGCAAGTGTAATACACAGGGCAGCAGCAAGCAAGTTTCTATTACTAGTAATACAGTGAAGGTTTTAAATTTTCTTATAGCTGGAAACTATTTTCTAAATAAAGACCTAGGATCAAACCTATGTTAAACCTGTACAGGCTTGTGTATCAACTTTGTCATGTCATAAGCAGGTTAGTTTTTTACTGAGTCTTAAAAGCTTTTTCTTTGTGAGTAACACAGTATTTTTTAATAACAGAAGTTTTTTTTTTTTTTTTTTTTGAGATGGAGTCTCTCACTCTGTCACCCAGGCTGGAGTGCAGAGATGCAATCTCGGCTCACTGCAAGCTCCGCCTCCTGGGTTCACGCCATTCTCCCGCCTCAGCCTCCTGAGTAGCTGGGACTACAGGCACCCGCCACCACACCTGGTTAATTTTTTTGTATTTTTAGTAGAGACGGGGTTTCACCGTGTTAGCCAGGATGATCTCGATCTCCTGACCTCGTGATCCGCCCACCTCGGCCTCCCAAAGTGCTGGGATTACAGGCGTGAGACACCACGCGCGGCCCTGTTTTTTTTTTTTTTTTTGAGATGGAGTCTCTCACTCTGTCACCCAGGCTGGAGTGCAGTGGCCGGATCTCAGCTCACTGCAAGCTCTGCCTCCTGGGTTTACGCCATTCTCCTGCCTCAGCCTCCCGAGTAGCTGGGACTACAGGCGCCTGCCACCTCGCGCGGCTAGTTTTTTGTATTTCTTAATAGAGACGGGGTTTCACCATGTTAGCCAGGATGGTCTCGATCTCCTGACCCCGTGATCCACCTGTCTCGGCCTCCCAAAGTGCAGGGATTACAGGCTTGAGCCACCGCGCCCGGCCAAGTTTCTTAGAGGAGGGGTTCGTCTCCCTCCATGCCCCCTTTGTAACTCTATTTAGTGGCTCAGCCTTCAGTGAGAAATTGGAATGCAGATACGGCAGAATCTTGCTACTTTTAACTTCTAATGTGACCATGGGCTCCTGGGAGCCTAATGAGAAGGTGCCGGGTCTGCCCTAGTCTTTACATTCTTCAGCTCCTGTCAGTCTAATCAAATTGGCATTTGGTTCCTCCAAAGTGCGGCAGCCTGTGGCCGATGGCCTCTTGGTCTTGCAGCCTTGGCCATTTGCTTTATTGCCTTTTGAACATTTACCTTTCTAGTGTCCTTTCTTTTTGCATCTCGCACATTAATCTCTCTCTAGCCTTGTCCGGCTCTTGAATCCTTGCCTAACTTGACCTTTTTCGTATCTACATCCACGTCCACATCCTCTCACGTTGCTAATTATTCTTTTTTACACTTACTCTTAGTCTTTCTTTTTCTTTTGCTGTTTCCTAGTTTTGTTCCTTGGTCACAGTTGACATATACCTTGGTGGCCACTTTTCTAGACTAGGTGGTATTCACGCCTGCAGTTTCTACTTGATGTTACCCTGGGCTTGCTTTACAAATGAAGTATTCACTATATACTGATTTTCAGCAGCCTCAGGGTTAAATGGGGTGTAAAGCCAGAATGCTTTATAGAGTCTCTTATAAAACTGACTCAGGCTCTTGTCAGCTCCTTGAAGCATTCCTGAAATCTTTTTTTATATGACTTGCTTTTTTCTACCAACTCTTAGCCTCTGCAGAAGTGCTTCTCAGTACCTCTGCAAACGCTGAAGCTGAGTTGCATTCTCTGGGTCTTTTTTCCCTTTTTCCTAGAGTTTAACAGGCTCTTTTCTTTATGTAATTTTTCATTCACCTGGAGGGTTAAACAGGCATACCGAGAGTCAGTGTAGATGTTTACAGTCTTACCTTCACTGAGTTCTAAGGCCCGAATTAAAGCAATGAGCTCAGCTTAACAACAGTGTCCAGGGTTACCACCGCATACTCTGCACATCTGTCTCCTTGTGGGTTGAGGAAGCTGTTTCCGCCCACGTATGGCTCCTGGTCTACTGATGCCCAAGGCTGGTCCCAGAGGTCAGGTCTGCTAGAGTAAACTTGAGTCCAACACCTCTTCACAGTCATGCTCGACAGGGCTCTAGCTGCCGGGAGCAAGGTGGCAGGTTCAGGGTGTTTCCAGTTTAGTAGATCAATGGTTGAAAAGGGCTGATAGATGAAAGTCTGTTGCCCCTATGGGTGTGGGTCTGGTCATTATAATAGACAGGTCCTCGCGTCTCCCTGAGAGGCATTTGCATAGCTCGAGCAAGACCAGATCTGAGACGGGCACTTGACTGTCTTGACTTCCTTCCTTGGCTTCTCGAGGCTCCGATCCTCTTCTTCGAGGTGAGACCTGGGGCATGTTAGCTCCTGAATCTAGT